AGAATATTTCAGATTTTGTGGCGAAATGTTTGACTTGTCAGCAGGTTAAGGCAGAACACCAACATCCATCTGGATTGTTACAGTCAATTAAGATTCCTGAGTGGAAATGAGAGCGCATTACAATGGACTTCATTACTGGTCTTCCTCTGACTCCTTCCAAAAAGGATTCTATTTGGGTGATTGTTGATCGACTCACCAATTCAGCGCACTTTATCCCTATCTAGATTAATTATTCTCTAGATAAACTGGCTAAGTTGTACATTTCTGAGATTGTTAGACTTCATAGTGTACCGTTGTCTATCATATCTGTCGAGATCCGAGGTTCACTTCCAGTTTCAGGAAAGTTTTGCACGAGGCTCTGGGTACTCGTTTGAATTTCAGTACAACTTTTCATCCTCAGACTGATGGACAGTCTAAACGAGTTATTCAAGTGTTGGAGGATATGTTACGGGGTTGTGTGATTGATTTCTGTGGTAGTTGGGAAGATTTCTTATCGTTAGCTGAGTTTGCTTACAATAATAGTTATCAGGTGAGTATTCGCATGGCACCGTACGAGGTTCTGTATGGACGTAGATGTCGTACTCCTATATGTTGGACTGAGTTGCATGACAGAAAAACTTTGGGTCCAAACTTGGTTCGAGAGACCGAATATACTGTCAGATTGATCCGTGATCACTTAAAAGAGGCATTTGATAGAAAGAAATCATACGCAAATAAGCGATGTAAGGATATCGAGTTTGAGGTTGGAGATAAGGTTTTTCTCAAGGTATCCCCATGGAAGAAGGTATTGAGATTTGGACATAAGGGTAAACTGAGTCCGCGATTTATTGGGTTGTATCATATTTTGAAGAAAGTTTGACATGTTGCTTATCAACTTGGGTTGCCTCCCCAACTCAGTCGTATTCATGATGTTTTTCATGTGTCTATGTTGAGGCGATACCGTCCAGATCCGGATCACATCATTCAAGTTGATGAGGTAGAGCTGAGACCTGATTTGTCATATGAGGAATAGCCTATTCAGGTTTTATAGAGGGATGAGCGAGTTCTTCGGAATAGGCGTATTCCAATGGTCAAATTTCAGTGGAGTAATCGTAGCCCCCCAGAAGCTACTTGAGAGACTTTGGAGTCAATGGAGGCTCAATTTCCTCATCTATTTTCATAAAGTAAATTTCGAGGACGGAATTTCTTGTAGAGGGGGAGAATTGTAACAACCCAAAAAAATTATATATATATATATATAAAGTTCTCAAAACTTGTAGCCTGTTTTAGAGATGAAGGAAATTCAGGGATCAAGCCTTGAATTTACCCTAGAATGGTTGGTGAGTTTGGTATTATATACGTGCAATTGGTTTCTGAAATTCAAAAACCAATTGCTCCCAAAATTTCCTCCCCCAACACCATCTTCCAACCACGATTTCGGCGTCGTCCGAATTTCGATCGTCATTTTGAAACCACTATCGTGTTCATCATCGAGCGATGAACAAACCCCTTAAATTAATTGAAATGAAAAGCTGCCAAACGCCGGGAATTTCAAGTCAAAGTCTCGATGTTTTTTTAGCACAATCGTCGAGAAAATCTTAAATTCACCGCCGATCGTTGATCCGTTTACGACACCTCCTGCACCATCGTGTTCCTTGTGCCGTTGTGAGTCCGCCGGTGTCATCCTTGGTCTCCGTCGACGGCGGCGCGTGAGGAGTGAGACGGTTAAAGTTTTCGATTTGTTGAAATCGCACTCTCCGCCGTTCAAAAATTTGAACTGAGCTTTGTAAGTATCTCGAAATCACTCAAAATAATTTTTAGAAAATTTTCCGTGAATTTTACGCTGTCGGAAGACGTCCCACACACCCCCACGCGCTACCACTGCTCGTGAAGAATGTCAAAATGACTGGTTGCAACCCGACCCGACCCGTTTACCCGACCCGTTGACGGGTGCTATTTTAGTAATTATTTGGGAAATTGTGCTATTCTGGTAATTGTTTTGAAAATGTTGCTATTTTTGTACTTTTTTTTAAAAAAAATGTTAATTTCTTAAAATGGTTGACCACCTTTGACCAGAACTTTGACCGGCTTTGACCGATTATTAAACGACCTTTAATCTTTTCCGAGTATACCTATCCTGATATTTTTTGACGTTCCGAATCTATTTTGGGGTCTGTTTCACCAAATTCGAACCCGAAATACTTCAAATCGTCAGCCAAACCCGTTGAATTTAATTTTAACCAAGAATTCAAATTTTCGGAAAGACATATTTTATGTGTTTCGACGTCTTGAATCTGATTCCGAAGTCTGTTTTGCCAAATTCTGACTCGAAATTCCCGAATCGAGTGAACCCAAAAATGCTTAGTATTTTAATATTTTGATTATTTATTTGAGTTTTGGTTAGGGAATTGATTCAATAAAATATTTTATGAAGGTACTCGTGTTTCACCTGAGCGTGGATCAGTTAGGTCTGAAGTTGTTCATTCGTCAGATCAGCCTGAATCGCACACTACAATAATTACTCGTAGGTTTCCGTATATTATTTAAATAAATATTATTTATATTAGGATTCCAATATGAATTTTTTCAATTCGTAGGATCTAGCGCTGCCGCAGAGAGTGATCGACAAACCCAGTAATAAGCTTCTCTATCTAATTTCTCATATTGTTACATGTGTGTTTCATGACAGTGTTATTTTACTGTTTTAAAAATTTTATTTGAATTGTTTTAGATTGGTGATAATTCATAATACTTTTATGACATGATACATGATACTTGATTTCTGAATATTGATTACCCGATATATGATTTATGTATTTCGGTATATGATTTTTTTAAGCATGAATTATTCACCAATTTTACTTGAATACATATTTGTTTATTACTGACATTGGGGGGAAATATTGTTGGAGGAAGAATACTTGCAGGCTCCTCGGCTTTGTGCTCAGGGCCTTACTGGACGTGACGGGGTGTATGGTTCTGGGGAACCTACACATTTTGTTCGTGACGGATGGGTTAGTGTTCATATTTTAAATAAAACAAACATGTTTGATGAAATGATTTTACTGAAATATTTTATTAGTATGGTTTTATACACTGTTTGAAGCACACCGGGCTTTTTTAGCTCATTATATAGTTTTTACCTTTTTTCAGATAACAGTATACCGTAAGCTAGCAGATTTGGCATCAGGGGAGATCAACTATTTATTTTGTACGAACGTATATCTCTATATGTTTTTTAGTTGTGTTTGGTGACATGTATTTGCTATCGTTTTGGATATATCTGTATTATTTTATTTTGTTCTGTATTATATCTAATGTATTATAAGTTGTTTTAAAAAAAATTCTCTGAATGGGATAGGTGACCACTTAGGTTTGGGTCTAATTTACAGACCGGGTCTGAGGGTTACATTTATAATGAAATTTTGATGCATGGTCATTTCATTTATCTTCAGTTAAACTATTATCTGATACGTTTATAATATTTTTTTTTCTTCTATGAACAAATTTAATCTATTATAATATATAACGATATATATGAACTTTTTTTTAGGATTGAATATATTAACAATACAAATTTTTATATGTTAATAGGTATAAATAAAATTTAATAGTGAATATAATCAATGAAATAAATAACTGACATAAAAATTTTAAATTTGAGAGTAGACACTTATTCACCTTTAACCTAATATGAATCAAACAATGATCACATCCATTATTCATTTATTTAAAATATTAATTAATAACATATGACGATAAACTAAAACTGTATACAATAAACTTCGCAATGGAATAATTTCTCATAATATCATCCATAGATTTTGTATTTATATTGATTCACCTATACAAGTTTATATATTTATAATAAATAAGATTATGCAATTCATTAAAATAAAATATAATAATGAAATTAACTATCCACATTTTACATTAAATGTATATATATTTTTTATTTTACACCATATACATGCTAAGTTTTCACTATTTATATTATTAATTAAGTCTTTTAACTAAATTTGATGTTATAAGTTAACCGAACATCAATTCAATTAAAAAATATAATAAAATCTAAACTATTAAATACTTTTCAATTATAATATTTTCATTTGATTTTACAATCTTTTAAATCTAATTTTTGGTTTGAGATTTTAGCTTTTATTTCTTATCAAAATATTAATAAATACTTTTTTTATTAATATGAGATAAGTAAACAATAATATATGTTCAAAGATTCTAAATTATTTCACATTAAACGCTCATACCCCTAATATTCCTGATACTCAAATCTAAAACCTCTAGAAATATTATCAATTTCTTAATCACTGAAGTCGTTTGGTTCATACAATATTAATAAATACTTAACTAGACTAATTCAATCATTTCATCTTAAATATTATGTTAAGTAAAAACGCATGATTTAAATAAAAGTTCGAAGTAAATTAAATTATATAAATGTAAATTACCCTCACTTTTGTAGATGTACTATTTTATAGCTTTCTTTTAGCTTGTACTTGCTATTTCAACAATATTATTCGGTTGACAACTCTTACTTTTCCTCGGGTCATTTTACTAAACTTTAGGCACAATGGCCTAAGCATGCTTAATACCCAAATGGAAAATATTATACGACGTGTTATGTAAAAACTCAAAATCCGTAAATCAATAAAATTTACCCAGGAGTTGATGGATTCACCATTTTCAGGATGTGGTAGAATGAGTTTTGTTTCCAGATATTTAGAAATCAATAGAAATGCCACTGACAGCATCAAAACCCAAATAATTCTACCTTCGTATTGCCAAGCTAAAAAGCAAGCAGTGGCCTTTAAGTGGAACAAGACAGTTTAATCCTTAAACACAAGAAGTGGGGGACCAAATGTACATTTGGCCACCCAAGTTATGGCTGTTTCGTCGCTTTGTGTCAAACCAGGTTTTTCAATTGACTAGACTAACCCCTCCGTTTCTTTTGCGACTTGTTGAGTCAGTGTTGGTGCGCTTCTGTGGCTTTCGTCTTTTCATTTCAATATTTATTATTTTTCTCTTTATTTATCTGTTTTTTTTTGTTCTCCTCTCTATGCATTTGCTTATTTAAAAACCTACCATTGGCTGTCTTCGTTGTCCTAAGATCTCACACATTGCCATCTTCTCTGCTTTCTTTCAGACTCTGTTTCTCTCTATACTCTCTTCAGGTATCAACGCTAGCCATTTAATTTGAAGTTATATCATTTATTGTGCTTTTATTTGGCCATATCTGGGTCTAAAGTTTTGTTATTTTTTTCCTGAAAAAATATGCCTTAGATAAACCAGAAGAAGCTAAGGGAAAAAATGGCTAACCAACAAAATGTAGTGGTTCTTGATGTGATATCGCGTGGAGTTAGGAATGTGTTGCCTCCATCATCTCTTCCAGTGCCCAAGTCCTTTTCACCTCAAGACCTTAAGATGCTACTGATGAAGAAGTTGGAAACTGAAAAAGGAGGGGCTAAAATCAATGCCTGGTTGGATTCCATGAGAGCTTCTTCTCCAACTCGTATCAGGGCTTCTTCCTTACCAGAAACCGACGACCGAAGCTCCTGGATTGTAGGTTCCATTTCTCCATCAAAAATCGTTACTTCAACGAATTCAATTCCTCAGCCGTTGTTATTGTTACTGATTAATGATTGGTGACCCTTTGTTTTTCATCCTATCTTTTAGGTTCATCATCCCTCGGCTTTGAGCATGTTTGAGCAAATAGTAGCTGCATCAAGAGGGAAACAGATTGTCATGTTTCTTGATTATGACGGCACATTGTCTCCTATTGTCGAAGACCCGGATCGAGCTTTCATGCCTAAAGAGGTTAATATCTTCTTACTCCTCACTAAAGTTGTTTATCGGATATAAAACTCATACTGATTCCTTCTTGGTCTCGAATCAGATGAGAGCAACCGTAAGAGATGTGGCGAGATATTTTCCGACAGCAATCGTGACCGGAAGGTGCAGAGACAAGGTACATTACAGTACTACCGTCATCTTACGGTTCATATACCTCATGCTCGATTAATACAAAGACGGACAATGTTGAATTGAATTTGTTTCTGATGATACAGGTTTACAGCTTTGTGAAATTAGCTGGACTTTATTATGCTGGTAGCCATGGTATGGACATCAAGGGACCATCTAAAAGTTGCAAATACAAGAAAGTAAGAGCATCAATGCACTTGTGTAATTTCACTCGCATATTGTACTTTTTTTAGCCCCTTTTACTCACCGTAAAAAAAAATCGTTCTTTTTTCTTTCCTTGGATGCTTCTAATTTTACTGTCAACCTCCGTGTGTTATTTAGGGTAATGAGGGAGTTCTTTTCCAGGCTGCCAGTGAATTCTTGCCCATGATTGATGAGGTTTTTGTCTCCCACCATCTAATTTCATATCAGAAATCTAAAAAGAAACAATCCATATTAAGCAAATTTCTTTAGCTTTTAAATTTCCAGGTTTACAGAGTTTTGGTAGAGAAAACAAAATCCATTCTAGGAACCAAAGTGGAAAACAACAAGTTTTGTGTCTCCGTACACTTTCGCTGCGTCGATGAAAAGGTACACAGCAAGCCATCTTTTGTCTTCCATTACGATTAATTTTATTGTGCAATCATTTAGAAAGATCATATCTGTTTTGAAATCGGAATAAAACATAAATTCGGCTTCCGGGATTTCACGGCTAATCTCACAGATTTGTTGTCATTGGCAGAGTTGGGTTTCCCTAGCCGAACAAGTTAGATTGGTGCTCAATGACTACCCTCAGCTTAAACTAACTCAAGGCAGGAAGGTATTAGAGATCCGACCCACCATCAAATGGGACAAAGGAAAAGCCCTTGAATTTTTATTGGAGGCTCTAGGTTATGCCAATTCAAATGATGTTTTACCGGTCTACATTGGCGATGATCAAACCGATGAAGATGCCTTCAAGGTTAGATTTAACTATATAAAAAAATACATGTCGTACAATTGAGTTTCTAAGTCAATTTGTAATTAAACACATTACTTTTAATGAACAGGTTTTACGCGAAAGAAGGCAAGGGTTTGGTATTCTTGTTTCCAAATTACCCAAAGAAACAAATGCTTCATATACTCTCCAAGAACCTTCTGAGGCAACATTACTAAACTTAGCTTCCATTTCTTGCTTTATTCTGATAATGTTTTCTGGTTAATTTTGGGCCAACTTTTAAAATATATTTTTTGTTTGTTACCATGCTTTTACAGGTTAATGAGTTTTTGAGGCGTTTGGTGGACTGGAAAAAGTTGTCACCCAGAGCTGCTAAATGTGCTTAGTTTTACGCATTATGTTTAAACCCCACCCTACATATATGATTAAAGCCTCGGAGGGTGGAAGCAATTAATTAATAATGTATTTTCTCGGTCTATAGAGAGAGCTCCCAATTGTAATTAGCTAACTACCATCATGTTCAAGAGGCTGTAATTGAAGGGGGGGGAATGAGCCAAAACAAGAATAATTCCATAGTTTTGGAAAATCTTTGAACTATTTCTCTCTTTCTCCTTTTATCATTTCAAAATAGTCATTTGTTTATGAGTTATTCTCGTATATGTTGACCATCAAAATACATTAGTGTATTCTATAAGATAAATGCTAGCAGTTCACGTTTCTTATAAAGATACAACTGACCCCAACGCCACGTTTTATCTGAAGCGAACAGACATTCAGAATCTACACATCCATTGGTTCTTTTTTCCCTGTTCAAGCAACATGCAAGTACAGTATAAGGGTTTAATTATACAAGTTATATTATCGAGGTGACCATATAATAATTATTAGTTTCTTTTACAATATTGTTTATTAACCTCTTTTACATTTATAATACTTCACCAATGTGGACAAGACACGTCGTTGATTTCTTAGTTTTAAGTGCTTAATTAGAGGGAAACCCTACAAACGGGGACTTAATCCATGTGGTTACTAAACTAACTGATGGATTAGCATTAATTTGCCCTAACTTGGCCATTAAATATTTGAAATGTCAGCTTCATGTTTCAAGCATATGATCGTGGGAGGAAAAAAACAAAGGAAAGAGAGAAAGAACAAAACATTAGTTGGAAGAAGAAACATCAAACTCAAAACTTATTAGAGTATGAACATTTGGAGTTTTCCTGAATAAGTTCATGCAAAGGGAATCCAACATTGATAATAACAGCAAACACAAACTTGTATTTGAAAACGTTGTTGAAGTTGGGAATCCCCCACATTCATTACAACAAAAATAATGGTGTGAGCATCTCTTTTAACAGTTGTAAAGATACCAAAAGATTACGTGTATTCTCCTGCATTAAGATTTCAATATTTAGGGTTTATAATTAGATTTGCTCCATCAAAGGAACAATCTTTTTTCTCCCTTTCCAATGGCTAATAATTAATGTATACAAGCTGTTGATGTTTCGCAAATTTCATCAATCGACGGCTCTACTCATTTGCCAGGGAAAATTATAATTTTCCTTTTATGGATAAAGCAAACACCGTATAAATTGGAAGAGCATCCACTCTTTTCTTCTCTCAATTTTATGTGCAGGAATTTCCCACTTTGGGAGGAATTTTCCTTTATATACGAACTCGGGTACTATAAAGTCCTCCATTGCAATTTAAGACATAATTGTACATTTTACACTCACTTTGCAATTATTCTCATTCGTGACTTAATTGGATTCTATGGAATACGAACCCTTTAATCATTGAATAAATGCACATATTGATGGCTAACCTCGCCAAATACAAACAAAACATTAATGGAAAACAAATAAAGAAAAAATAAAGGCATTGATTTTCGTTTGAATATTACTAGTTTTAATCTTATTTAACAGCCTTTTATCCAAGTTTAACTTATCCAAGAATTGGACATTTTGAACCATTACTCAAATACTAATCAAAAGCTCAATCATAGGTAATAATACCAATGAGAACAAACTTTTAGAATAAGATATGGTCAATGACAGAGATATTAGATATGAAAATAATAGATTTATTTAGAAAGAAACTATCCATACTTTCACAAAATATGTTTATAATTATTGAAATTAATATATATCCTAACGAAAATTTATTAGTATATTTTTACATCACAAGGACCCAAAGCTTCTTATAACTTCCAACCTCCATAGAAATTATTGAAGCCACCTGCCATGAATATTATATATATTAAAAACCCTAGTTTTGGACAGCAAACTAATACTTAACACTGCAAAAATTTTAAAAAATGATTATGGAGAATTGGCACCATTGCAGGGCATAAGGGAGGTGTATAAAATACAATTATTGTATCTTTAAGCAGATATTAAAAAATGTACAGATACAAGAAGAGAGCTTTTGTTTTTTCAGTTTAACAGAAACACAGTCTAATTGGGCGAGGGACCTTATTATTGATCTCTAAAACATTAAACAAATGAGGTATGAGATCTGTGCATGTTTAAGATACTAGGGAGTGAAGACTTGGGGGCTGACCAACAAGTATAGATGGCTAAACTATTGGTCAGTTGGATTTGAAAGAACCCCGATTAAAAAGGAATCTTTAAGTAGTATTTTTTAACAATACGAGTGATTATATATGTTCAAAATCTTTTTTATCTATTAATAACACATATACACCCTACAAACGTAATTGTTCGAACCTAAACTTATAGGGAGAACAACACTACACTCTTTTTTACTACTAAGAACATTTGATGGGTTCAAACTTGAAATAGTTTATATATATTTTTTATAATGGAGTATAATTAATCTTGTATATTCAATGGTTATATTTTACAAAAATGTTAGGTGGTGAAAAGGATGGGATGCCCACTACTAGGTCAAGAGGAGTTGGAATCCACTCCAAGTGCTTTCATTTTAACAAGACATGGATTTTTAATGGGGACATCCAACAATTATGCTTTCAAGACATGAATCCGGCTCTTTAATACGTGTAAAGCAAGGTACCACTATATTTGAACCCATCATTAGATCTTTAAAACTCAAAATAAGTAATGCAGAAGCTCCAATTATTGTAGGAAAAGAAACCAATTCACCCTCATTATTGATCCCATTTTGATTAAACTATTGGGGATCATTTACAGGGAGACTCTACTTCTCTGTCTGATGCATTAAAATATGCATCTGGTTTTGAGATGTGCTTGTTCCCTAGAAAAGGGTCCTGTAAGCCTGTACGATGTAGCATTTGTTTTTACAGGAGAAGATGGTCCCCGACTAGAGGGCCGAGCAAAGTAAGGGTTGGTGCTATTGGGAATGTGAATAATACTCATGAGAAGGTGCTTTCAACATTTCTTATAATAATATATAATCGGATTCCCCATCCTGATGACCTTGAGGGAGGGAGCAAATTTATCAGGTGTTTGTACATTAGGGTTGTTGCTTTGATCGCACCCATCATCATTACAGTAAAAATGATTACTTCCACCTGACAGAGAACAAAGAGCCAACAGATCTACTATTCTCCTACTATGCAAATGTGAAAGCCTGGCATAAACAACTCCAGGAATTATAATTTATAAAAAGAGACAAGGCAAATGCATATAGAAACTGGGATTTTAGTGCTTTTAGTTGTATTTTTGGACTTGTTTAAACCAACGATGGGGGCCTGTTCACCATTCCAAGTTTTGTATGATGATTAAAATTGACTCAGAAAAGGGTCCCCATTCCCCACCTTTAAAGCGGTTCAACTTTTCTAGTATTTGTATGCATATGCATACACATACAGGCACCTGGACTTTGATTGATAAGCTGATAATTGGTGGGAGAAGATGGATATGTTTCTATACTATAAGTCTTGAATTGTAGCCTAGTGCTTCTTTTTCATCTTTTCTTGTACATAAAAAAGAGATCAGAAAGAGAGAAATAGAGCATGCATTTCTTTATGTATCGATAACTTTATTCATATAATTAGAGGGCCAAAGCACTTGAATCTGGAATGACTGTCCTTTGTATATCAATCTTATACGTTTATCAAGAACAAAAATCAAAGCAGTAATTTTTGGAAACCACAGTCAAAACATTTACAACACAAAATTCAGATGAGTTGCTTTAATTTCCATTGTTATTTCTTAGAATTCTGGCATCAATAGTTAAACTTCGAGTCTTAAAAGAGTTGAGAATATCTTATTAAATTAATCAATAATTAGAGAGGTCCTTTTTTAATTAAAGTTAAAAACAATGGAGAAATGCACACCATAATGATATGTTTCTAGTCAGGAGTACATTATGATAAAATCATTGGGCTTTGTGTTAAGGTACTTACACATGCAAATTCCATATGAACTGATTTGTATTATTTATGCTACAGTTTGTCGGTTGCATGCATGTTGATGACAGTAGAAAACTTAATCAATGGTCTAAATAAAGGGCATGGCTCACTGGACTGGATGCCTGTAGCAGTTTATAATCATTTATCCAAATCAGTGCAGGCTACCGGTGATTTGATATACAGATCAGACCAATGGGTATTTGTAATTGAACCCGTTTTCAATCTGTCTAAAGCCCAACCCAACAAAATTTATAGTTAGACTGGGCTGATAATGCTCTTTTCCCCCAATGACAAAGTCAGTGTTATTGCTTATCTATATATCTTGGTAAAGGAAGGGAAGGATTACACGGGTTTAACCATAGGATTAATATTAATCAAGATTAAACCAATGTTTTTCTATTACATTATAGGATTAATTAACTTTTTTATCAATATTAAATTTAGTTATTTTTTACATCTAATTAAAAAAAAGTCTCAAATGAGATATTTTGTATAATTTGTATGTTAATGTTATATGTTTGTGTCTCCAGATATATATATAACTTTTACATGTTAAGAAATCATTTTATGTAATATATATATATATATGTTAAAACATAAAATGATCGAGTACCGACATTTTATAATTTTATATAGTTTTGTATATTAATTTTATTTCAACTTTATATTTTTTATTTAATTTTTTATATTAAATAAATATTATATTTAAAATTTAATCTGATAATTTGATCTATAATAATGGATATATTCTAGTTATAATAATAGCCATCATAATAATTGCAATTTTTTTATTTGATTGAGTAAAAATATGATTAAGTTGCTAAATCAGAAATTAATAGTGAAAAATTATTCGACACATTGTCATGAAAAAAATTCTGTATAGACTAAAAAAATTAAAACAAAATCGTGAATACATTGTGCATACACTATACAGTAAGTATAAAGGAAAATAAATAAAGCATATGCTATACAACTATTATAGTGCCATTGTCTTCTAGTAGACAGACGGTGGGACATTGATTAAGTTGTTAGAGTGAAGCAGATTTGCTCTGAACCTTAGACGATCAGTTTTCTTAGTTCCGAGATTCTGTGTCCCAATGACTTTTGTAGCAGGCAATGCTCATGGGTAGCAAATAGTAAGTGTACGTTCATTCAATGTATTACTTTTTAGCATCAAACATG